CCCCCCCCCCCTGGGATTGTTTGGGACGGCTAACGGGGAACTCTCGATGGTCCGCACGGACTATCAATGACTATCACTACCTTGGTACTGCGGTCACTTGTCGGGAAGCGTGTGTTACAGTCCACAGTCGCACAGTCAGTTCTGTGACTAAGGCCTTGTTGATGCTGATTTGGGCACTCTTCGTGCAGTGCGACCAATCACCATTGGCGAGGCCTGAGATAGTTTGTGAGCCCATACCCTCACCTCAATAGCAGCTTTTCAGGAAGTCACCGTGTCCTATTTGGATGATGCAGGATTGCTCATGGACGTAAAGTCCCGGCAGAAGGACGATTCGTGAACACATTGTGAGGAGTTGTGCCGTGAACGTGTCCTCACACAGAGTACGTCAGCTCGTTGCTCATGTCGTCATGGTGTGGGCAGGAGCTGCAGGAGCGCTATGAGTTCAGGCTGCAGTGTGAATGTGTAAATGACAAACGTGGCGGCAACAAGTCTTGGCTGGCAGGTGTCAATGCCGAAGGTGCACTTCAGTGGATGACACCCGGAGGTTTAGTTGCACGTGTGGAGGCCAGGCTATGCCGGGCTACAGAATTCAGACGGTGCAGTGACAACGTTACCAACTCAGAAGGCCTCCCGGCAACATCCCGGAACTTTGGTCGTATGTGGTTTCAAGATGTACCAACCCCATCACAGATCCCACCACAACCAGCACTTCCTCGCAGCCTTGCAAGTGGGGATCCTCTCGGTTGCATTGGTGGTCTTGCGAAAGCAGCTCTCGGAGCCTTCATGAACGCACTCATAGCTTGGCCTTGCATCTGGCCTCTCCACCCTTTCCTCACCTCCCTCCTCATCCAAACCCTGAAGTCCCTGCACCCGCGCAACTTGGCCTCCCCGCGCCGTGTGAGGGGATCAGCTACCCGAACGGGGACGCCTCCGCTGTCAGCAGTGTGAACGGAGCAGTGAGGGGTCTGAGCTCTTCGAGGCCGAAGAGCCGCTTGGACTGAGGGTCATGTAGTAGTAGTTACTTCGTGGTCATCTCCATCATGTTATGCAGTCACCAGCCATGATCTACCCATTTAATCCTGTATCATCATGTCATCTGTCTGTTTATTTGGTTAAGGGGATTTGATGAATGTGGAGGTGTTCTCCCTTTGGGTAAGGAAGGCTGCCAAGTCCTTGGAAGCGGCACGCTCTGGAGATTTGGAAGAAGAAGATGAGGGCCATGAGCTGATGAAATGTCATCGGAACCTTGCAGTCAAAGTTTGTTCTCAGCCAGTAGATTTTGTTGGGAAAGGTCAAAGGCACTCCATACCTGATTCTACAACATTACATGATTCTTTGTTCTTGGGTCACTATGACAGCATTGTACAATGACGCAGTACTTCGCCGTTGAAAGAGAACTTGCCCCCAACATCTTCAACTGCTGAGAAGGCGACAAGAGAGCAAAGTGAGTAATGATGCGACGTCACAAGTGCCAACTGCCAACCTGAAGGGCTTCCAAACAAGAAAGGAACAACGACGACTCTGTGCTGTTGATTGGGCATGTGCAGTTTACTATTCAGGTCAGCTGCTAGTCAGATTGGTGATGAATACAGTAAATGTGAGAATTTGTTTAAGTCTTGTCCTCTTGGACACTTACTTGACGTGTGTCTTCATCTTTACCTCACGGAAGCTTCAGCTGAGGTTCACCTCGAAACATCCACATCATCAGCTCACCTTTGCTTTGGCCAATGAGTTTGCCTTTCCAGATCCTGAGGCCGGACGCTACTAGGGGCTCCTGGCATCGCTACTAGGGGCAAGGACGCTACTAGGGGCTCCTGGCATCGCTACTATGTGCAAGGACGCTACTAGGGGCTCCTGGCATCGCTACTGGGGGCAAGGATGCTACTAGGGGCTCCTGGCATCGCTCCTAGGGGTAAAGACGCTACTAGGGGCTCCTGGCATCGCTACTAGGGGCAAAGACGCTACTAGG